TATATATATATATTCATCATGTTTGCTCATTTTTAAACGGTAATAAATGGACAATATTGATGTAATAGTGCCTTACTACTTGAAATTTGACATTTCTCACTCTCTCTCTCTCACACAGGTCTACGATTAACTCTAGTACTATTCCACCTAAAGCACAACTGTATGTCTCTGCATATGATAACCGAAAAGCGACAGCAGAAGCACCAACAGTATTAGGAGTTCCGGATTCTGTTTCTGGTAGTGTGCCAAAGGTTTTACGGCCTCCACCACGCATGCCTAACGGTATATCAATTTCCTCATGTCCCATTGCTTTCTAATCTTAGCAATCAACATATGATTCGAACCTCACATAAGCTATTTGACCACTGAGCCTGGCAATAAGAAGTTCAGAGTTAACGATTGAGTTGCTTGATATGAATAGAGATTATCCTGGTGCAACTAATTCTAAGACTAATTTTAATCTAATACCACAAATAAGGCAATGTTTGGTAGATGTGACTGAAGAAGACTAGGCTTTTTACTAGAAGGTAATTTAATTGATAGCTGACAAGTTAATTTTGCGCTTATATCTAACAGTTGATGGGCCACTTATGTGTGGTAAAATTAGTTGATAAATCAGGAAAATAAGCTTAACCAAATTAAACGTTTTTCTGTTGCAGCCAAACCAGGAAGGGTAGTGGGACCGGTTCTACCTTACGAGAATGTCCGGCACGTGAATGACTCGTCTTACGACGGAGGCGTTTACGTTCTCCCTTCTCAATCCATCTCTCCTCAATGCTACTTCAGGACCAGCACCGGAACGAATCAAAATGATTCCAGGATGAGTGCATCTCAAGTCCAACAACAGCCACCACCACCTAACCAGCAGCAATACGTAGCCCCACAAGCTAAATCAATAAACGGTACGTATATCGACATGAAAGGACAGCCCAAACTAAACCCTCCAGTGATGGGTGGTGACATGAACAGTAACCCTTATTACCAGCCACATTCCAAAGCAGTAGCTGGGGGTATTAATATTATGAATATGAACGGTCAAATCGCTATTGATGCCAAACTGTTGCAGGCCCAGACACAGTTCGTTGTGGCGGGGCCTGCAACAGCTACGCATCGGGAAGTCGCAGCTGTGCAGATTGGACTGACTTAGATGGTATAGTTGGGGTGACTTTTTTTTATATATATAGCAATTGGATGGCGGCGAAGGTGTACAGCAATTACTCGTGAAGGACGTGCGAATATCTGACGATTTCACGCTATGTGAAGTTTGTGTTTGGTGCCTTTTGTGAGTGGGGGAGCTTGCTGTTTTTACTTCGTACCGATTTGTAGTTCTTTAGTGTTGTATTCGTGTACATTGTTTTTCCATCATTGAATTATGTATTATTGTTGTTGTAACAAAAGAGAGATGATTTGCCTGTAATGTTTTTCTTCTTTATAAAATTTCCACTCTTTTATTTTTTGTTCTTTTTTCAATCAAATCAGTTCCAGTGAGATCCACTCGATTGTCTCACAGTCATCGGCTCACTGCTAAGCAGAATAAAATATATTACAAAGAGATTAAAAGTTATCATCAATGTTAAAAAAATAGGGAAAATGCTACGATCCCCTAATGGAACTATTCCGTTGGGATTTGTAGCTGTTAGATCAACTATTCTCGATTGTTACATGATGATCTAACAGATACAAACCTCGTCGGAATGGTTCTGTAATAACAATGTAGTATCTCGTAAAAAATAGAATTACTCGAGATTAAAAAATAGAATTATAGGTAAAATTATAATTTTGAGATTTAACATATTCCTTTTAGTTATGATATTGTGTTTATATTATGACTTTAATAAAGTTATGAGTTGAATTAAATTATAATTGGTTGAGTTTTAATTAATTCATTATGTATCTTTATTTCTTTTAATTTTATTTCCAAAATAGGTGGAATATGAAAATTATTTTAATTTTGTTAGATACTTTATCCTATATGTTTTGGGGATCAAGATCTACATCAGACATATTAAATCAACATGGATCTTCTCATTATTTCATCATTTTCTTGTAGTAAAAGTAGAACTCCAAAATCAATTATTTTTTTTGCATTATACATAATAATCTGTACATGTATTATTTTTTCAGTGTTGTAATATGTTATTTCATTCTTTTATATTACTGCATCATTATATTATTTTATAAAAAAAAACATTGAGAACTCTTTTGTTTGACTTTTATTTTATTTTTTTCAAGGATATATTCAATAAATAAATAAATTAATATATTTTATTAAATTTAATTGGCCAAAAACAAAGATATTGCACGTGGATTCAATTCAAATTCTGGGTTTCCACCTACCTACCCATCATCACTCTCGACTCCCCTTTCCCACCAAATTCTCGCGTGTGAGCTGTTGAGCTAACAACAGCACACAGTCACTGATCACCATCCCTTCAAAGGTCAATTCTGTCATTTCATCGTCCCCCACTTTCCGTGCCCCTTCACCACCTTTCTGTGATTGGCCAATAATCAACAAATTGATGATAACAATAGTGATGGCGATTTGCTCCAGCACCAGCACCAGCACCAGCGCTTATTATTAATACGTACTTTTGACGGTCTCATTTCTCTCACTTTTCTGTTCGTACTTATTTTTTGCCCGATTTATTTGCTCGCCGGCGGATCCTGATTCCGACTGATCGGAGTAAAAGGTGAGCTTTTCCATGAATCTCATTCTGTTTGGTTCTTAATAGTGTGCACTGGAATTTGATTCTAGCGATTCTAGGTTTGTTATGTTCCGATCTGCTCTCTGCGTGTTTATCAGGTCGTAGTTTTGCTGCATTCCTATGCTATTCTGCATTCACAAATTGCAGATACATTTGTATGAAATTTGTGAATAAGTGTGATTGTATGAAGGTATAGGTTAAGGAATTTGTGATCAGTTATATGGAAATGTTCGAATTTGTGATTGTATAGTTGGATCGACATTTTTATTAGTTGATCTGTTTGGAAGCTTTCAACTCCCGTTGATGTTTGATCCGAATTAACCTGGAGCAAATTCGTGTTATTAGACTCATAAATTCGTTTAGCAATGAGTGTTTTTGTTCCCGATTATCTGATTTGGGATCAGGTGGTTCACTCTTCCGTGCTTTGACTAGTTCTTATTATTATGTCTCGACGATGTGTATTCCATGGCAAGGCTTGACATAGAATTTACTCGACTTCTTTGGTTTTTGTTTTTTGTAGAAAGAATTTGATTTTGCCACGCGTAAATTGTTTCTGCATCTGACGGTAATTCTTCGCTACATGTTTTCTTTTTGCGTAGATATTGAGCTAAGATGTCTATGTTTACGCCCAAGAACATCCTCATTACCGGTGCAGCTGGATTCATAGCTTCCCATGTTGCAAACAGGCTTATTAGAAACTACCCTGAGTACAAGATTGTTGTGCTAGACAAACTTGATTACTGTTCCAACCTGAAAAACCTCCTTCCTTCAAAATCATCTCCCAACTTCAAGTTTGTCAAGGGAGACATAGGCAGCGCTGACCTTGTCAATTACCTTCTAATCGCTGAGAATATTGATACTATCATGCACTTTGCAGCCCAGACCCATGTTGACAACTCGTTTGGAAACAGTTTTGAATTCACCAAGAACAACATTTATGGCACCCATGTTCTCTTGGAGGCCTGCAAAGTTACCGGCCAGATTCGAAGGTTTATACACGTCAGCACTGACGAGGTTTATGGAGAAACTGACGAGGATGCTGTTGTGGGGAATCACGAGGCCTCGCAGTTACTGCCCACAAATCCTTACTCAGCCACGAAAGCAGGGGCCGAAATGCTTGTCATGGCTTATGGTAGATCATATGGGTTGCCTGTGATTACCACCAGAGGGAACAATGTTTATGGCCCTAATCAATTTCCGGAGAAATTAATTCCGAAATTCATTCTTTTGGCCATGAGGGGAAAAACTCTTCCGATTCATGGAGACGGCTCGAATGTGAGGAGTTACCTCTACTGTGAGGATGTTGCTGAGGCTTTCGAAGTCATCCTTCACAAGGGAGAAGTTGGTCATGTTTACAACATTGGGACTAAAAGGGAAAGGAGAGTCATCGATGTAGCCAAAGACATATGCAAGCTGTTTAACATGGACCCCGACAAGAGCATCCAGTTTGTTGAGAACAGGCCGTTTAACGATCAGAGGTATTTCCTTGATGACCAAAAACTCCATAATTTGGGCTGGTCAGAGAGGACTGTATGGGAAGAAGGTTTAAAAAAGACCATCGAGTGGTACACGAGCAATCCCGATTGGTGGGGAGATGTCTCTGGTGCATTGCTCCCTCATCCTAGGATGCTCATGATGCCCGGTGGACTTGAGAGAAATTTTGATGGGGCCGAAAAGTATGAATCTGGTAAATCCGAGTTTGATGGGAAATCAAATCAGAAAAATTTGTTGGTGCCGGCCGCCAAAAACAGCCCATCACAAGAAAAACCAGGCCTGAAATTTTTGATCTATGGTAAGACTGGGTGGATTGGTGGTTTGCTTGGAAAGTTGTGTGAGAAACAGGGGATTGCTTATGAATACGGAAAGGGGCGACTCGAGAATCGCTCTCAGCTCGTGGCCGATATTCTTTCTGCTAAGCCGACACACGTGTTTAATGCTGCTGGTGTAACTGGTCGACCCAATGTCGACTGGTGCGAATCTCACAAGACTGAAACAATTCGTGCGAATGTGGCGGGTACACTGACCTTGGCTGACGTGTGCCGGGAAAATGGGCTCCTCGTGATGAATTTTGCCACCGGTTGCATATTTGAGTATGATGCAGCACACCCTGAAGGTTCTGGCATTGGATTTAAGGAGGAGGACAAGCCCAATTTTACTGGCTCTTTCTATTCCAAGACCAAGGCCATGGTAATTTACTAATATACCCCTTCTCTTCGTGCATGTGCTTGTTCTGTACAAATTTTCAATTAAGTCTAGAATTATGCTCGTGTGTATGGTTATTAATTTTTTTCCTTTTGATGTTTTGTGCTCTTGATCAGGTTGAGGAGCTATTGAGAGAATATGACAATGTGTGCACTCTCAGAGTTCGTATGCCGATATCCTCAGACCTGAATAACCCACGCAATTTCATTACCAAAATTTCAAGGTACAGCAAGGTGGTCAATATCCCCAACAGCATGACAATCTTGGACGAGCTCCTTCCGATTTCGGTCGAGATGGCCAAACGCAACCTTAGTGGCATATGGAACTTCACGAACCCTGGCGTTGTCAGCCACAACGAGATTCTTGAGATGTACAAGAAATATATCGAGCCAGATTTCAAATGGACCAATTTCACTCTTGAAGAGCAGGCCAAGGTCATAGTAGCCCCGAGGAGCAATAACGAGATGGATGCCTCTAAGTTGAAGAAAGAGTTTCCCGAGTTACTACCGATCAAGGAGTCGTTCATCAAGTATGTGTTCGAACCCAACAGAAAAACCGCTGCATAAATAATGTTCTGTGTTGTGGACCCGTGGGATGAGTTTTGGCACCATTGTTATCTAGGTATGTTAGCTTTACTGCACTCTCAGCTTCAGCTTGCACTTTCATTTCTCTCTTTGTTTTCTTCACTCTCTACTCTAGGAATTGCTACATGTCCATGTACTATCGAAACGGAATTACGTGTTAGCTTTTCAGGATCTTGTCCTGTAAAAGAACCTGTGTTAGTTATTTTCAGGAAATGATACTATCTATATGAATGATTTGGTTGTGATACTTCTGAGTATGAGAATGTTGTGTAATTTTCAGTATGTGGGATTACTACACTTTGCTGGTTAATGGCCGAGGGGAAACTGTTTTCCTAATTTCCACTTGTTTCATTGTGGTTTTCCAATTCCCATCACTTTTTAATGTCTGTTTAGGTGCATAAGCATTATTAATGTGCTGAAAAGTCCACCCCTAAAAAAGTGATGTCAAATAAGAGATGCAAATGGGTTTGGAGAAGTTAGGCAGAAACATGAACAAGAATGACTTCTGCCAGAAACCATCAGTCTTACTACTAGGTAAGGGCCGTGTT